TTCATTGCTACTCCGTAGTCCCAATTTCCGATTTATTTTTTTATTTTTTCCATGCCTATTTTAATATATATTTTTTAATTATGAAAAGTTCCAAGTTCCAACTTGAGGTTCACAATTTAATGAATACATATGAGTAAAATAGGAACATTTTGTAGCTATCCACGTTATTTTATAGAATACTGGATTCAACAATTTCCTGGTTATAAATATCAATAATTGAATAAAAGCGAAAAATGACTGAAATATTGTTGTAAGAGTATACGTATATAAATTGTATGTACATAATATTGTACAGGTATTTTTAATATACCTTTACCTATTATTTAATAATACCTAAGTATAGGTAGGTACCTAAATTATAGGCAAGTACTTATCTAGGTGAATAAAATKTATGTATTCAAACAGTTAATACAAATAATAATTTATTATAATATTGGATTTGATATTTACTTTTTAAAATCTTGTTTTATACATTATTGTTGAAACCTGTACAAAAAGTTTTATGCATTTAATAAATCGATTTTGGTTTCCAAGGCGCCCGATAATGCGTGTGTACCAGGTACCTATCATACCTATCATMTATTACCCTAACATAACACTTTTAATGGTAAAATTAAACATTCCTACTTCGGTGATCAATACTTATCTAGTATCTTAGGCGCATTTATAGTTCATACTCGTCACTCGAGCATGTTAATTCATTGAAGGTCACAATAATTGGCCATTTAAAATATGTAGCTTATTAAATTTTTGTAGTTGTGCGTGGTAGAATTTTATATTTTCATTTACARTGTTTATTATCATAATCATTTTAATATGTATTTTATATAATTATTTGTAAGATATCAAAATGAAAAAAACTCGTTTAAAAATTAACAAATGCCAAGTCAAAAGCTTGGAAAAGTATACGGACGAGATTTCTACGGATGGCGTTCACCCTCCGCTGTTCTGTAGTCATACGTGGACTAAATGTGTTCCGATCAGTGTAAAACGATATTTTATTAACGATAATCAAATACACTATTATGATATGCTGTAGAATTAAGATCTCATGATGGTTTTTTTTTTTTATAATACCTATATTATAGCATCGACTTCATCTGATGCATCCATCGATGTCCATTGGACGCAACTATAGACTAGCACTAGAAAAGACTTTACGAAAAATCAACAAGTCACGAGAAACAACATTGAGTTGTAAAATATTAGATGAAGATCGTCATTTATTAAATCGTCCCCATCAAAAACGTGAATCCGAAACACATAAGACGAAAATCATAAATGATTACCAATGTACGGGCGTTGTACCTTTAGCGGTAAACAAGCATTTATTTAAGTATATATTTTATATTATGTATTATACATTATAGCTGGGGTACACTATAAAATCATATCATAATKCTGTTTAAATTCCTATTATTGTCTCTGACCTATAAGTAAAATTTCATCATATTTGTTATTTTTATAGGATTTGTTGTCCGGAAAATATTACAGGGATAAAGCAGATTTGAGAAAACAAAAAATGATTGCAAATAAAATAAAAAAT